GAGGATGCTTAAATCTCTGCAGTATAAAAGCATTAGGAATTTTGTTGTATCTAACCTTCCTAACTGTCAAAAAGCATTTGTACGGAGAGCCACCACTGCAGCTGTAGTATTTGACACAACTTTCCCTTTGCCATCCTCACTTATAAAACTGTCAGGAACTGTCAAGGAGGACAAAGGACTGTGAGAAACACCTTCAAAAAGTGAATAAAGAGAGAAATGGCTGTGGATTACACTTAACGCCTCATCTTCAAAAGCAATCCCAGCATTTTGCAGAGCAAATTAAATAACTTAAAAAAACCTTTGAGAATTGGAAAAGAGATAATTATCTCTACATGAGATATAAAGGAAGAAAAACAGCAGCAGAATTACTTACTGTAACTGTTGAGTCCTATTGTTTGAGAAGTTTCTAATTATAAAGCACTGTAAGCTGTAGGAACCAGCAAAGACAGAGCTTTTCTGCCTGGATTTGGTTGCCTAAAGCTGTGCATTTTAGATGGCATTTTTGACCTGAAACTCCAAATTTACATGGGTATCAAAAGGAACAAAAAACTCTATTGTTTAAGCTATGAGAGGTAAAATAAAAGGAAATGTTACTTAAAATATAAATCAATTTAAATCAAAGAGCTAGAAATAAAAATAACCTCTTGAATGTCCCTTCTTAATTTTTCTCCTCTCCCTCCATGTTTGGAGAGCAGCTCAGAAGTCTGCCCACAGCTGTCAGACAATATCTTTTGGAAGAATATCTGGAAATACCTAGAAGGAGCCTCAAGTCACAGCTGTTAAGGATGAAGCCTGAATGCTCTGAGGTTAAATCGTCAGCTCAAAGGCCTATGTCTGCACATTCTGCTGGCGTGGTCTTGCATCCCTGTATGACTGGCACAGAAAAGCTTGTGAGGATCCTGTGTCTAATTCTGGTACAGATGAGCTGTTGCTCTCATGTTGCAAAATCTGTGATAGTTGCTGCTGATCTATGGAGCAAGCACTTTGCTTCTCACCAGTTTTTGACTCCTTGGTGCTGAGACTCTTGGAGGTTTGTATGGGTGTGTTGCTGTTGATGCATTGCCTTTTGATGTGCAAATTATTCATTCATGTTGAGTCATTCCACTGTCAGCAAAACCACTGTCCTATTTCTGTAGGTTCTTTGCAAGTCCTGCTTTCAAGCAGACAGAAATGTATTATAAGAGAATTCTGTGAGAATGTATTCAGTTTGCAGAGCCAATGGCTCTACTTTTCAAATGGACTTTCTCTGCTACGTGACAAAACATGGGAAAACATTTCCAGTGGAAAACTCCCCTAGGAGCTATGGTATGTAGTTACAGCTCCAGTGGAGTAGAAACTTTGTTACTGTGTTTCTTCTCCTTCAGAAAGGAAGCACAGGAACTTTTTTCACTTAATCTACCCATTTGGGATTTGACAACAGCTATCACCATCCACCCCTGTAGGGACATAGCGAATGTGCATCTGTCCTGCCCCTAGATGCATCACACGCTCACTAGCACTGAGATGTGGGTCGAGGTTTGTCTCTGTTGTCCAGGATGTGTTGGAACAAGGGATCATTTCTGCTGTATCAGAAAAATGCAACAGTCAGAGGCGCTGGGGATTCCCAATTCCCCATGCTTTTCAGGATAGTATGTGTGTGGTTTATGTTTCTGGTGAAGGTTTTGCACATCTCATTGCAGTAAAGTACTTTGGAGAGGACACTAAAATTCCTTTAACATAGGCAATGTCCTGGACCCTGCTTGAGAGCCTTCTGTGGTGAACTTGGGCTGTTTGTAGTTTCATGGTATATGGAATTAGCTTTAGAATTCAAATCCCTATAACAAAAATTAAGGTGCTTCATACATGTCTTATTTACATCTCCCATATATACAGCTGTGTAAAAGTTCAAAACAATTATTGTTAGGGAATTCAGAGTCTTGTTTGTTACTTTGAAGACAGAAGAAAAGTACTTTTATATCTGTCTTCTTTCAGTACAGTTCAGCTGTATTCAAAGCTGTCATGGCCAAATACAGTCACAGGATACTGCATTACATAGGATTTATGTCATGTGATCCCTGGTGGTATCACACTAGTTTATCAGCATTGCCAACAGAAGTTCAGTTCATTGGTTGTACTTCTTTTAGGTGCAACTGATACTGTAATTTGGAGCATGGCTAATGCATCAGTTACGTACCAGAAGATCCTGGCCTTCACCCTGGGTTCTGTATAGACATCTGTGTTTGTTTCTTGGACCTGTTGTTTTCAGGAGTTAATCAGAACACTAAAATAGAAGGCAATGGTACATTGCCTTCAGGATTCTGGAGTAAACTCAAGCTGTGGAGGGTTCTCAGAAGAGACTGTTTTCTGGTGCCTTGTTCCTGTTCAACAAATACCTCATCCACCTGCCTTACCTCACTCATAGTCTCTTTCAAACAAGACCCAGAAGGAAAAGGGATGTGTTCCATTGAGCTGTGGTTGTTTGCTTCTTCTCATG